TTTCTATACTTTACCTTGAGATCTACTATGTACATGTAGCTTGTAGACCCAAGTGTATACACTCAATAAAAAGAGATCAGTTTACACTTTTCTCCACCACCAGTTAATTTGAAATTGCCATGCAGTTTTCCTCACAGTGTATATGTAACTGCTGTTAATGTTCTTGTCTGTTTGATCAACTGTAGCATTTAAGGTGGCTTCTTACCTAAATATGCTATAGTTTGTAGAATTACATCAAAAGCATGATAGCAGGATGGGCTGCCCCGCTGCCCTTTTTGACCTATCCATTGACCAATCGCTGCACCCTGCTGCCTTTCTAATCTATTTATTGTAATCCGTTAGGCTAGAGTTGTTTACATATAGAATAAACAGCTGATATGGGTGTAGAAAACTTTTAGGAAAGAAGTAACAACGTTTCGACCTCCTTAGGTCACATGTCATGAAAGCAGAACTAAAGACATCAATTGAGTTAAAAGTGAAATCCCCTGAAGCATCTGGTTAACTGACCTCCAACAGAGCATGCCAAGTGCAAGACATCAAAGCACGTGCTAATTGTAATTGTAGAAATTCCCTTTGACATTTTATTGTTTTTTTAGTTTCATAAAAATCATGTGTGTGTTGGTAAGGCATCATGCTGTCTGTTAAACAGAAGTTAAAGCAGCTCGCATATGAGAGGGCTAAGATTACCAAGTCACCCAATGCATCCAATCCTTTCTCAAAGGAAAAACAAAGTAATTTATAATTATTATTTTTAAATTTTTGTTGCTTTGGCAAGATTGTATATAAACTATTTTTTATAGCTACTACCATTTTAGTGTTTAACAAAATGAAGCTGATGTTAGGAAAAGAATGACTAAGGCTTTGTCATAACATTAATCCACAATTGTCTGCAGGAATATGAGAAACTCAATGGATGTAGGCAGACAGAGTAATGATTTGCTGATTAATATAAAATGATCAACAACAAAATAAAGTTGTAAATGTTTATTTTTATCACTTAGAAAATCATCTATACAAGTAATGAAATTAACTTTGACATATTCAAAAGCAAGCACATAAAGTATGACACGTGATCTAAAGTTAATAAGCCCTGTGCATGCCATCCTGCCCTTTTTTCTTACTGAATATAACACTAGTTAGAGAGACAGTTAAATTGAATTTGAGTCTTACTATTATATTATTATGTTTTAGTTAATTATGTATTATTTTTACAATCCAGGCGACAAGTTAAACTTATAAAAAAATCATTAAACTTTTCAAATATGATTTTTATAAGTTTAACTTGTTGCCTGGATTGTAAAAGTGAATGATCAAGATGGCATCGTTTATACATGTGCAACTCGTTAGTGTAACAAATGTCCATGCGGGTGTCGCAGTATAATGATGATAAAGCCCTGAGGAGACCAGTTTATGTATCTGGTATAAATGATAAAAGACAAAGAATTGGAAAGGAAAATAAACTAAGTGAAAAGATATAGACCAAGCTTCAAATGACTTCTAGGAAGAGATGAAAGGTATATATATTCCTATTTCTTAATTTTAAACATTTCACTGCAGTGTATGTTGATGATAATAGGTAGAGTTAGGGATATAGTGGAGAAAATGGAAAATAAGATATAAACGTTTACCTTAAAAAGCTTTTGATATTCATTTAGGAGGTTCTAGAGATTATGCAAATAGAATGTGAAAACTGTAAGATAATAAATGGTATTTTTATACTTTATTTAAAAATCACCTTGCAGGTGAACTATTCAGAGTCAGAGTGCAAATAATTACCTTAAATAACAATTTTGTTTTTATTAGAAATAGTAGAAAAGTAAATATTAAATATTTGTTTTTCTGAAACTACAAATTTTTAGGAAGGTTTTGAGAAATTTTGAACAATTTCATCCACTAGTTTTATTTTTGGAATAAATTATTATGAGAGCAATGTTCTAAAAGATTTATAAGCCAACACCCAAAGGGTTAAAAAGAAATGTTTTATTAAAAATTCTAATTTTTGTGTGTGTGTATAACATACTTGTAATGTTTACTAAAAGCTTATCAAATTTTACGAAGATAAACTTAGTAAATTTGGAATTATTGTGAAAATTAATTCTCCAACACTGGGTCTGTCCGGTGAACCTACCCTGTGTAGGCAGGGTTAATAATACAAGTCACTTTATTCTTCACTTCTTAATACAGGTTTGCAGTACAAAAAGTATATAATGAATTTCAACTGCACCATGTTTATTATATGGCGTATGGTTGTTACTACAGCTCATCACACTGGCTGGTTTACAACAAATGAAGTCTCAGTTGAAATGATATTTATCACAGTTGTTTAAGATATAACAAGTTTCAAAGTTAAAAATACGTTAGTTGATGGAGCATTACACTTAGTAGCAATATGAGTGTAATATTCTATAAAAACTAAGACTGATAATAATTTAAATTGCATCATTCTTTAGTGGATCAACATAGCTTTCCAGTCAGAAGAGTATATAATAGCATTTCATGTGTAACTTGTTTATCACATGCTGGCCTGATGATTTTGGTATTGAATGAAACCTGGATTTGACCTGTAAACAATTATATGGTTTAAACTTTTATCACTCTTATTGTGATGTGATATCACACAGCAGCTAAGGTTTTTATACACTGTGATACTTGTTTTCATTTATGTGTTTTAGGTTTTAATTATTCAATTAGATCAAGTAAGGTATTGAAATAGTTTTAAAAATCTCAGTAGACTATCAACAACATTAGAATAAACTTGAAGCTTTCTTTAGTTAATGGAAATTAAAATAACAGTGTAAAGAAAATAAATTTCCAGTTAGATGATAATGAAAATGATAGATTTTTCAAGTTATAACTTTTATGTTTTAATATTAGGAAAGAAATGAGTTTGTAAAAGTTATGATTAGAATAATAATAACTTGAAACCTCATCCTAAAAACTAATAGAAGATCCCCAAGAAGCCCCAAAAACGTTTTCAATAAAAGTTCTTTTATCAAAATAGTAAACAGGTTTGTTTTATTAGCACATTTTGAGGAATTAATATTCAAAACACAACAACTGCTAATTTAAATTGAGAGTGTAATGAAAAATTAAATGGGCTTCTGAAATTTTAAAATAAAATTGTCTTATAATGACAGGCTAAAACTGTATGTAACACTTCCATTATAATTTTAAGTAAATTTGCTGTTCAAAAATGTGGGTGCATGAAGTTACAGATGAAACATTTTAACAACTTTTTGCTTCAAAGACATCATATGTAGAGCTGAAATTTTTAAATTTCTATTTGCGTCTGTGTTAAGGTGATCTTGCAAATAGCTTTGATTATCAAGGAAATGATCCAGCATCCTTCTGATGAATGTATGTATGCAGACTTTAAATTAATCATAAATTTTTTATCAAAATCTTATCTGTCTGTAGTGCTTCTATTTATGTAATCTAAAGAAATACATAGCCATCATGTTTATGTAAAGGAAAACTCAATAGTAAAGAGAGAAACATGACAATAAATGACAATTACCTGTTTACATGTGTAAGAAAAGGAAAAAAAAGGCTGAAGTTATTAGGATCTATTGATTCATATATTGGTATTAGCAATAATCATCAAAAAGATTATTTTTAATTACATTGGTAAGTAAAGCTCACAGCTTATGTTCAATTCCTCTTATGTAAGGATTGTCATAATACAGTTTTAAACATTTTCATAAGGATCACAAATTTTTTTTAGCTCTTATTAGATATTAAGTGTGTTTGAGATGGCTTTATGAATATATTTATTGTAGTTTTGTTTAAAAAAATAATTAGTGTGTAAAGGGAAATTTGAAGTGAATTCTTATTTAAAGGCTGTATGGGGTGAAACTACAACAGCCATTCATTCTTTTAGCCTCACATTTACTACCACAATCTTAGCATTTATTTTGATGTATACAGATACGTGAAATATTGAAACACAGCTGGAAATGTCATGGTGCAAAATGAAAAAAAAAAATCAATCATTATATGGAGCTTTTTTTTTTTTCCTGCCAAGCATGCTGCTATCTAAGATTATCCCCCACTCAGTCTTTCTTCTAAATATAGTAACAACCTATTGGGTCTTAAACCTTTCTAGCTTTGAAAGACTTCCAAGCATATTTTACTAAATGTCATTGCAATGTCTTGATTTTTACCTCTGTGCTGAAGATAGAGTCAAATGTAGTTTACCTTGGCATTTAGCTTTAGTGTTGAATGCTAGAGAGGTGAACAAGAAGCTGTACATAAATACAAGGAATCTATTTTAAAACACAAGCCTACTTAGTAATTAGAAATTTATTTTTTCTGTTTTATTTTGATGTTTTTTTTTCATCAACAAACCAATCTGAAATGTATGTAACTTAGCTGGTATTAAAATTACTGCTTCTACACGAAAAAGTGTAAAGTTTCAAATAATTTGTTTGTGTGATAGGTTTTCTAGTTTATATATAGTAATTGTTTTGTGTGTAATAGGTGTATACTATATGTGCAGTGAATTAATTTATTGCTTAAGTTTAAATCCTTGATTTCAACTATCCTACATTTCATTGATTATGTAAGAGATTCATTTTGTAATTTGTGCATTTTTGTTAATTTGCATATTTGAATTAACTAATGTATTTTTCATTAGTTTCTCTCCTATAATTTGATAGTTAAGTTTTATATGTGTGTGATTTTCATTTCAGCAAGGTTTAAAAGAAGTTCTGACAAATTTTGTTGATTGAATTAATTACCATTTTCACATATATGGTTCATATAATTGTTTTATGATAGAAGTGGTCTGAAAAGTTAAATTTCACTAATTAAAAGACACATACTTGCATGTTATATATATATATACACACCAGTAGTGTACACTGTTATTAAAGTTCTGATGAAAGTTTTCTTCTTTTGTAATTCCAATTAGAAAACAAAATTTAAATTTCAGTTTGTTAAATGTAAATAATGTTTTATTTTCTTGAAAAAAATTATTATTATTATCAATCTGTTTATAGTGTTTTCCAAAGGACAGTGTGAAACTGGGCCATACCGTTTTCTTGCTAAGCATGGAGGTTATGTGTGGTTACTGACACAAGGAACAGTCATTTATGAAAATAATTCATCAAAGCCACAGTGTGTTGTTTGTGTCAACTATGTTCTCAGGTGAGTTTGCTGCTTTTAGTAGTTTTTAAACTTGGTTAATTTAAATTAATAATTAGCTGATAATAATATTTTTTTAAGTAGTTTTCCTATATCAACAAACGAAGTAAAGTTATTCAAAGCCTTGGTAATCCAAAGGTTAAACCTAGCACATAGGTATTTGATCTGTGCAGAAACAAAATGTTTATGGATTTAATATGGAAGAACAGGTGTAGCAATTTTTTGCAAGTAAATTGAAACACAAGGCACATTGTGTAAATTAAGCTAAAAAATAAAATAAAACACTATTTAGTGTAGATAAGGAAATTGAATAATACAGGTGAATGTCAGTGTGGAAGGACTATAGCTGATGAAGGTGTAAATAAATGAAAATGACCAAATGTTATACAGTTGAAAACAGTCACAGGTAGTAGTTTCCTTTGCTCCTGAAATTTGGTTGAGGCTACTATCTTGTACCTCATTGCCACAGAAACAGCTTCATTTAACCATTCCACAACAGGAGCCCCTTTAAACACTTTTCTTCAGAAGTCACTGTGTTACATTCAAAATTTAAGTAAACATCTTTACTATTAATGTATATGAATGTAATTAATATTGTATTTTATGATCCATAGTTTTATTTTATCCAAGTTTTAAGTCCTTTTTTTTAAATAAACTTTTAAAAACTACTTAAGAATTCGGGTGTACTGTCACATGACCAATGGGCTATGAAAATTCTCTACTTTGGTTCTCTGTATCTTCAATAATACATTGTAGTTGAGTAGAGGTATGTCTATACAATAAGATGCTTATATAACCTTTTGATTCATTCATTTCAAAGTTCTCTGAATAAATATAGTTGAAACAAGTAATAAATTTTTTATCCCTTCACAGGTGCCATGCCCACCTTCAACAGATTTGTTTGAGCTTTATAGCCTACGTGTAGATGTTACATACAATGTGTATAGTCATTAGAATGAGATCATTTTACATTCTAATCTAACAATTGTTATTTTGAAATTGGCAAGCAGTTGTCGTTTACATGAAACTGACTGTAGTATTATTATTGTTGGCTGCTTGATTGACTATAGCACTTACGGTTGTTTCTTACCTAAATATGTTACAGTTAGAGATACAGTTTAAATTGTATTTAGGTCTTACTATTATATTTTAGTTAATTATGTATTAGTTATGTTTTAAAATGCATAATTAACGTTTAAACATTTTTTGTCAGCATCACATTTATGAGCCATGGTTTCTGTCTGGTAGATGTTCACTGATATGATTGTTGTAATGGCTTCCCAGCTACAGAATTGGTGGAGCTCTAAGTATTCCATTCATCTAAGTACCAGAGCTGTGTCATTTGTTCCTGGGTCCAGGAATTCCATGAGTTTACTTTCAGAACTGCTTAAGGAAGTAGTCTAGGTCTTTCTTTACTATACTCTTAAATGATTGACATGTAATATGTTTTCAGTTTGCTACTTATTGCCTGTTACAGCAACTAGGCTGTGGTTGACAGCACCAATATTTGTTCAAATGAGGCAAACAGAGGAAATCTCAAGGTTAAACCTAACACAAAAACACTTGATCTCCAAAGCCTAGTATTTTTGTATGGATGTAGTATGTGGAAGGTCAGTTGTAGCAATTTATTACTGGTGAAATGAAAGAGACAAGACATGATGTTGAAGTCAAGCCAAAGTGAATATAGGGAAATAGAAGAATACAGGTTATTTTCGAAGTATAAGGACCATTGCAAACGAAGATGTAAATTAATGAAATGATCAAATGGTCTACAATGCAAATCACATGATCAGCAGCTATGACAAGACTTTGCTAACATGTCTTGGCTTTCTTAAATCTAACACCACTCTACTTCCTTAGAATCAGAATCAGTCTGATGTGAATATGCAGGAACTGTACTCATAGTAAATGTTCTTTCTGTAGCTGGGCAATCAGAAAGCAGGCACTTAATTGGATTTAATCTGTTCCAAGTTATAACTTTGAAATATTTGAAATGTTCCTAGATATGTTGTATATAAAATGGAAATGTTTAGTATTTGTCTGTTTCAAGGTGTTACTGTTGTAAAACTTAGTTGTAATATTATTCTTTTATCTTGATAGTGGAATAGAAAATAAGAATGAAGTGGTATCAGATGAACAAGTAAACAAAGAGTTAGGATCTCCCCAGGAGCCTTTGATCTTCAAAAGTTCTACACAGAATCTGTTCTGTCGTCGTACTGAAGACATGACCAAAGGATTTATAGTATTTTCTGATGAAAACAATGGCTTGACTGGTAAGTCTGTTCAGCAGTTGTTTGTTATGCTATGGGATTGTGTAAATACATGTAGTAGTTATTTCAAAGTAGGTAAAGCTTCAAGCTATAGTGTACAACACCTAAACTGGTAAAACACTGTCCTTTTCAATGTGATATGACATCACAGTAAGACTGATAATAATTTTAGTCTTAGTGACCCATTATGGGTTTCCTGTAAAGTGTTTAATAATGATGCAGCTACAGTTCGTCTGTTGTATGTCCTATTACCATGTTTAGGCTTCAATATGTTTTTTACAAAGGATCTTAAAAGTAGTATTGAAACATGATGTTTGACACATGATGATTAATAATGCTGTAAGTTACAAATCTGCAGTGTTAGATTTTCTACTTGATGATTGTATAAGCTATGCAATAAAGTTTTTGTTACTTGTTTAAACAAGTCAAATGTAAAGATTGAAGATGATCTTATTACCATTATTACATAATAGGATTGCTTATTTTGTGTTTCATTAACAGCTTGTTTTTCTTGACAATGAGGCTGTTTTTGTCCTATATTATCCTGCTAATATTTATTTGTTTTAAGAACCAATTCTTGTATTCCTCTATATTTGTTTATTTTTCTTGAGTATTGGGCAACAGATTTAAGGTCTTGATTTTTTGCAGAAATTTGGGTTTAAAATAGCCATTCTGTTTTTAACTTTGTCTTAAATGTGGAAATAAACTTTAAGATCATCATAAAAGAGTTAAACATGTAAGAAACAAAACACAAACGTTTTTAAGTAGGTATATACCACAGAATCTGTATTTTTCTGTCTTTGTTGTCTTTCTATCCCATTGCTTCAGTAGTATTAAGTTAAAGGCTTTATATATATATACATAGCTGTATTTACATGTACATTATTGTGTAGAAATGCTAAATCATTTCATAACATTCTAATTAGTATGTTCTAAAAAATGTACTTTACCAAAAATTGATAATGATTCATTCAGAATGCAAGGATGAACCAGAAGATCTTACTCATCTAGCACCCAAAATGGCAGACTTTAGTATTTCAGTGGATTGCAGTCCTTACTCATCGGGTATGTGGATAGTTTTCTGTACCACAAAGTTAAACTTGGAATTGTCTTCTTACGAAACAGAAGACTTCACAGTAGGAACAGACTATAACATCAGATATTGGTTGTTTTACACACAGTGTAAAAAATCAGAATAAACAGTGTTAGCGACTGCAGCATTTTATGCTATAGATTTAAAGTTGTTTTTCTTGTTAAGAATTATGTAATGAGTACAATTTCCAAGTAAAAAAATGTTTACTGGTCTTCTTAAAATGAAGTGTGCAGTTCAAACATTGTAAATTACACATTTACTGTAAAACAGATTATTGATTCTGAAAGTGTGGATAATGTTTTCTAAACGTACCAACTGTCTGTGACAAAATTAGGGTTTTTGTTTCAAAATCTGATAATAAGGTTATATTTGCAAACAAAAATATAGCTTACTTGTTGAATCTTACTTTTAACTTGATAAAAATGATTAAAAGTTCTCTTTCTTTCTAGCAGTAGCATATTTTCACTGATAATATTAAATCTGTATGTTTCATACTTTCGTTATTTAATATGTATATTCATATATATTACATATACATATTTATGCATATAAATGGTGCAGTTGGACAACTGGACTTAATTGAATGCTCTCTTTTGGGTCAGCAGTAAACTTGAGGGCTTATAGTACTAACAATTGGGGTTTGATACCTGTAGAGTGGACTCCAGATAGCCCTTTGTATAGTTTTACACTTAAACACTTACTAGAACTGGGCAATTCCAAATAATGTTTTTTCATTTTATCAGGAGATGTTACTACATTTTTGCAACTGGTTCTAAACAATGAATGATAATTTAAGTGTAAAGTTTTGTGAGCAAGAACACCTATAAATGCTTCTTATTTTGACTTTGATTTATATTCACCTTTGTAACTTGAGATTACAGATTAAATTTGATAAATCACATTTAAAGAAACCTCATAAAAACCTTAGCTCTTTCAACAGGTACAACTACCCTTTTTGTCTTATTGGTGGTTTTGTTTTCGCAGCTGTTTCTTGTACCACAACAAAGCTTGCTGCCATTTCCTCTTTGTAACTTGTGTCTTGTGTGAAATTCATTATTTTCAGAATGATTGCTGAAAGTAAAAAAAAAATATATATATATTATTGGTTGTGTGTGTTTTAAGTAATAAAACTATAAGGTAAGATTAAGATAGAACACTTCACATAAGCTTAATTTTTCTTTTATTTATTAATAGGTCTAGCAAAAGGTATTAAATATTTCATATATGTGAGATTGAAAACTACTAAAGTCATATCCATAATGCATAAAAATCATAGTCTCATAAAATAGAACTCAATAATTAATAAAGTTAGAACAATAGCCATTTGAATTTAATCAACAGTTGAGTAGTTTAACTGCAAAAGCAAAAAATACATCGTTTTAATTTCTTCTATTAAAAATGTGAACAAGTAGTTTTTATTTATAATTAATTTCTTATGATTAAAGCTTAAAATTAGATGTATATTGTGAATTTCATACCTCCTTTTTTGTATTTCATGCAAGATGAACATTTTTAACATTTTTGTTTAAACAAGGTTAATTATTTTAACAGATATGAATGGAGAAGTCATGATTTTAGAAGACACAAAGTCTTCATCCAAAAAGAGTTTAGCTGTTGAAGTACCATCTGTTTTTAGTGACTGTAACAGTCCTGTTAGTCCTGATCCTTTTTTAAACTACAGAGAAGACTCCTTATACTCCCCACTTTCTGTTGAAACTATGAGTCCTTCTTTAAGCAAGGTATGGCTTAGAAGTGTCATATATATTCTTTGAATACTCCTTGTTTTCATATCAAGCCTGAAATAAGTGTTTAAAATACTTCCACATCTATTAATTGGTTATATGATGCGCATGCCAAGTATCAGAAACAATTTCTGAGGGGAAGCTGGGGTTTATCATGCAAGTTTTATAAATTTGGCTCATATTATGTTCTTTGAATACTCCTTGTTTTTATATCAAACATTAAATTAAGTGTTGAAAATCTTGCACATCTATTCATTGGTTATTTATTGTAACTACCAAGTATCGGAAACAATTTCTGAGGGAAAGCCAAGGTTTATCAAGCAGGTTTAATTAATTTGGCATTTCATTTATATTTGTAGACCTGGAAATGGTAAAATTTTGTTCATTTTCTGTTTACACTTTGCTTGGAAATTCTTCATAATTTCAGATATTTAGCAATTGAGTATTTAATCACCTATTTATATTTCTGAAAGATAAGCAAAACATAATAATTAAACTATGATTTTCTTTCATGCTTCATCATTGCTGATTTTTTTATGTCTTATTTGTTGCAGAGCGTAAGTAGCAGTATTTCAGATTTGAGTGGCAGTAAAACATGTAGCTCAATGGTAGATCTTCCTGCTTTGGAAAGTCCTGTGGGGTCTATGTCAAATTTGGATTTGAAACTTGGTGCATCAAAAGTGTTTGCAGAAAGGAAGTCTGATATTCAGGTACATTATATTGTTATATTGCATGTCTATTTCTTTATTTTGCACATGTATACAGTACTGTGCAAAATGTTTGAGCCAATTCTGTATAGTAGAGTGTTATGGTTCTGTATTGTTAATGGGATGAAATAAGGTACTGAACACATTGTTGAGTTTGACACAATAGACAATGACAGTTGTAGTGTGGGTTTTGCTATTTTAAGTTTAATAGTAAAAAAATGTTGGTGGCATATAGAATTCCCTCTTGTCTTATTAGCACACTGCTAGTGTCTTCACATTTTTCAGTTCAGAATAGTTAGATGTTGAAAACCAAGAATTTCAAGAACTGACTTAGAATTCTATTTCAATATAAGCAAAACTTTATCCAGCATCTGATTCATCAGGTGGAAAATGAAGTTTTATAATAAATAAAAAAAAACGGTAATACCAAAAAACATCCTTAAATTCTATCATCATTGTTATATCTCAAAAAAAATTAAGTTCATAATATTTGAACTACAAAAAAACAACACTAGCATTGAATGAGTTTTTGTATTCTATTGGAAGTTTAGAAAGAACAGACTTAAATGGTAACAATATAATGGAATGTGCGATAAAACATGTGGCATGCACACGTTTAATAAATAACATTGTGAAGAGAAACTATTACACAGAAAGGCTTA